GCTCTTGGGCCTTATATAGGGTGAAAATTATTAAATAAAAAAATTGTTTTATCTTGGATTAAGAAATAGCCATTGGTCATGATCATGAGTCCCATAACTCATAGTCGTAGGAGCACCACATGTATTGCAGTCACAGCAGAAGTGGTATGTCTTGAGCAAGATAGCTAGATGGAGTCCAATCTTTGAATTCAGAGTTTTCCTTCTCCTAGATCAGTTACCAACCAAGGCTATAGAACCCAGCCTCTCCTACTATTTGACCCATAACTGGGGGAGAAGTGTTGGATTCATACCTTTCTCAAGGTTATTAGCACATAAATGAATTTAATGAACTCTACTGGAAATCAGTTATCAGTTATTTCCTGTTAATTCCCAAAGAGTGTGAGTTCAATACCTGGTTAAGGTGGTGGTGAACTTGAAGAGGGGAATTAACAGGAGATAACTGATAACTGACATCCATTAGACATGGCATGTGGAACTAGAACAATCTACCCCAGTGAGCGAAATAAAGGGTTCAGTTTGACATTCCAACCACCTGAAGAAGGCTGGAGCATACAACAGCTGAAATGTTGTGATAAATATGGCAACAATGATGAGGACAATAGTCCGAATAATGTAAATACTGTTTTTCCTGAATTTTTATTTGCAAGATTTTATGCTAAAGCCATTTTATATCCTGATTCACATTGTCATTTCAGACGGTGAAGAATGAATTTAGCTTCTTGGGATAAATAAAACAAGAAGAATACAGAACAATAAAATTAGTAATCATGAAAATTGTGTATGTCTTGAAATTATAAGAAATTAATAAGAAAGAATATATTCAAATATATTGGAAAAGATGTCTGAATTTCTGTATATCATAATGTTGCAGAACTGAATAACAAAAATAAAAAATTAAAATGTAATGAATTTGAAGTAGTCAAAATATCAGATTTAAAATAAATAAAGTCTTATGAAAAAAACATTTTAGTAAGGGTTACTGAATGAGGAATAACCAAAATGAAGGTTGGAAATGAAATGGTAATCTTTATAACATCAACAAAATACAATACTCGCCAGTGGTGTGAAGTAAGTTAACCACTGCTAGTGGTAGACTAATAAGACAGCATATTACCCCCCCACTTACAATAGTGTCCAATGTATTTATGAGGATTGGGACACACCCATTAGTGTTTATATGTATGGCATATAACAGAAACTTTTGCAACAAATGTCAAAAATTTGTGCTGCAGTAATCAAGGTGAAAGGAGGCTATTTTGATGAGAGCAAAATTTAAACATAAATTTTTTTGTTCTTTTTGTCATAATAAAACATCTAATAAAAAAAAAATCATGGTTCATTTTTTATTTTTATTTTTTTTTTTTCAATTATGTATAATAATTTTCTCTTATTTAAAGAACAAAATAACTACTTTTAGGGCCAATTTAAAAAATTAACAGGGGTAGCATCAAACTTTTGCACTGTACTATATATATATATATATATATATATATATGTGTGTGGAGGGGGAAGAAAATAAATGAAAATGTCAGTTATAATTAATGCTGAAGATATGAGGACACTAAATTCAAATATTTCTGGCATCTGCAACACATTCACTGATCTCACTCAGTTTCTTTTATTATTGTTGTTTGCAAATATTACACACTGCAACAATAGAAGATTTGTTAAAAAAGTGCCATGTTGTAAGAACCAAGATGCAAATTTGTCATGGATGACTCAAAAACCAGTCCATTTTTCTATATATTTTCACCTCAGTAAATTACTTTCCCTCTTAATTAAAACAACATTGTTTAAGCCAAAATTATTGTTAGATTCATTACAATGAACAACTAATACATTGTGTTGTTCATATAATCTTTTATTAAAATTCCTATAAGTCTCACCTATGTATTTTTTGTAACACTTATTAGTCTATAGTGTAAATTCCTGATTTAGGTTCTATTTATATTTGGACAATATGTTTGTACCTATTTTATATCCAACAAACTATAGCAAAGTAGATAAGTATTGGAAAATTTGTATAGCAGCAAAATAAAGCTTCTATTTTTCTCATGGTTTGTCTAAAAATGGCTTGATTCTCTAGACAGGTAAGAGTGCAGGTCTGGTTTAAAATGTCAGTAGTTCCTCTATGCAAGTCAAAGTTAAAAAATGCCATGAGGGAAATCGCAGTAGTTTAAATAGTATCTAATGGCCCAATCCACCCTTGGCAGTAGGGGGATACAAGTCTATGCTCCTGCTGCTGCCATTGCTGACAGGGACAGTCCATTAAGTTGAGGAGAGGGGGATAACTGGTTATATCAGTTACAATGAAGAATAGTTAACATACATCTAACCCAATTTACCACTATACAATGGAACAGTTCTGTCCTGGGGACAAATCCTCCATTACCTGACATAATTTTTAGCTTGCATCATCTAAAAACAGTTGTAAATTAATTCATTAATACCCACTGTAAAATCCAGTTTTTATTGACAAAATTAAAAATAAAATACAGTATTAATTACAGATTTCTTTTAAAAAAAAAGAAAAAAAAGTCAGTATTAATTATAGGATTTTATATATAATTCCTTAATATCCATCGTCCCAAAAATGGACAGTAGGCATTAATGGGTTAATTCTTATTGGTTCCAACAGTTTCAGCTCCTTTGATCAATATTATTTTTTATTATTATTATTTTTTTTTTTTTTTTTGTAAGACTGTTGCTTTGGACATCTCAAAAGCCTTTGACAAGGTTTGACATGCAGGTCTTCTTCACAGATTGAAAAGATAGTGTTTCTGGACAAATTTTCAATCTAATTTGGTCTTTCTTATCAAATCATGAAATGAATGTTATCTTGAATGGCTACTCTTCTAGGTCCTTTTGTACTAATGCAAATGTCCCCCAGGAATCTATCCTTGGTCCTGCTTTGTTTTTAATTTTCATTAATGACCTTCCTGATGACATCAGCTCTGAACTTTGTATTTATGCTGAGGACACAACCATTTACTCCTGTGACAATACTAAGTCTGATTGATCTGATAGTCAAATTGGTTGCTAATGTCAAAGACAAACTTTAGTTTGTTGTTAACTAGAGAAAAAGATTCCTTGTTAATTTTAATGCCTCCAAAACTAAACAGCTCTCTATTAATCATCTGAGAGACCCCTGTCTGCCTTCCATCAACATGGCTGATGCTAACCTCCAAGAAAGTGAATCATTGCACCTTCTTGGGCTAATGTTCTCAGCTGACATGAAGTGAAAAGACAATATTGAATCCATTGCTAGGTCAGCTGCTATGAAACTTTGTTCACTGTGTCATGTGAGAATTTTTCCCTCCTGAATCTATCTTGCATATTTACAAATCTACCATTCTCCCATTCTTAGAATATTGCTGCCAGATATGGTCTGGTGCTCCTGCTAGATCCTTTATAAAATCCAAAGAAGAATCAGCAATATTATTGGTCTTCACCTGGTGCCTCAGCTTCATTCATTTTCTCCACCACTGTGAAGTTGCCTCCCTTTGCCTTTTCCATAAATACTTTCTTGGCAACTGTTCAGATGAGTTCTTCACTATGGTACCTAAGACATTTTGAATTTAAGCACAGTACTAGACAGGTGATAAAGTCTCATCAATTTCCAGTTGAGTCGGCAAGATGTAATCATAAGAACTGTGCTAACATTTTGTTTTCTCACACTTCATGCTTGTGGAACTCTTTCATCACCATGCTTTGCAGTCAGATTTGATCTTCAAAAATTTAAATGTAATGTCAATCGCTTTCTACTTTCTTCCTGATTACTCTTTTCTTCTTGCTCCTTAGTAAAGTTTCTTTCTTCTAATTCTCTAACATCCAGTAACCCCTTGATTCTTAGTGGCTTTACTGCCTTGCCTTGGGTGAAATAAAAAAAAAAAAACGTCTGTGGCAATTATTCTGTTTTGTTTCATTCATTTATAAAAATAAAATGAATCAAAAAATTCTATTAGATTTCCTCACTTATTTGTAATATTGCTGTATATTTTATAAATTTAATCATAATGACACTTAAATTAATTCTAAAAGTGATTGAAAAGTATTCATGCATTTATTATTTATATTATGAAGCAGAAAAATATGAAAAGGATGTGGGGGGTGGCGTAACTAATTTTTCTCCTTAAAAATCAAACTCAAAGAACATAAGCACAAAGGAGAAGTGGGAAAATTCTGGTCTCCTGGACTATATCTGGAATGAGAAGGCTATCCATTAAATTACCTGGGACGAGATTCCAATAATTGACAGAGAACACTGTTGGAGAGTGAGGAAGTTGAAAGAGACAGCAGATATCGGATTGTAGATCAGGTGCATAAATGAGGTTCTGATGGATTTCAACACCATCTGGTCTTAGCAAAGCAGGCAATGGTAAATTGCTCCCGCATATAGTTTGGAATTGCTTTTGTTCATATATTAATGGTTATCTTGTTTATATTTTTCTATCTCCAATTTTCCTGGGTAAGATTGTAACCATGAATCCACTGAGATAAAAAGATCTAGTCTTTCAGTTTATTCAGACAAAGCTTAGAAATATTTGTGACAGCAATGAGTATTTTAATAGCATAAATGAATTAATTTTATAGCAAAGAAGATGATCCTTTGGTCATGTTTGATAAATCTCCAGAAAAGGACCAAGTAATCGTTAATCATTACAGAAACCATGCAAGTTGTCATGGTTGAAGATGCTAGCATTTTCATAATATTTGAAGAATGTGGTACCGCAGTAGTCCTTTGATAGTGATTTTTGATTTGGGAGATCATGTCTGTCTGGGTGGGGGATGATAAAAATGCTAATCCTCAAGGTTTTTACAGCTCTTATGAATTTATTGTAAGTTAGAAACAATATCAATGATCAGGATGATGTCATTTTGCCATGGGAAGAAGTTGATTTTTATCTCCTCTCTTAGAGATCTTTATATGTTTACTACCATGACCTTCACCCGCAGAAGCAACTGACCCCCCCTCACCTTTACTGTTGCTATCTTCTTTTATGTTGACCTCCTTTCTCTATCACTCTCTCTTTCCCTCTTTCTTGGTTTCACTCTCACACATTTTCATATTCACTTTCTCCCTTTCTCTATTGTATTCTCCTTTTCTCTCTTGCCTTCTCTTTCTCTCTCTCACTCTTCACCCCCTCTGTTTCTTTAACCTTCACTGTCTTTATCTCTAGCTATCTCTTCCTCACTATCTGTTTGTTGAGACTGGGTGTGGCCAACTTAGATAACAGTTTCTCATCTTGCACAAAGGAGAAGAGCAAGCAGGCTATTTTAGGATTGTTAGGCTTGCTGCATCCCCACTCTCTAATAAAATAGCATACACATTAAATGGGATATGCACATGCATACACGTGCACAAATCTCTCTCATGCACACACGCAAATGCATGCATTTCAGTAGGAATATCCACAGTGATATAAATGTACAGAGAAGCAAAGTAACATTCATTCAGAAAAGGAAACCAAATAAGAGACGTGTAAATATACGCACATTCATGTTTAAGTCATATCTGAGATGATGCTTTTTTTATCTACGCACTGATTCTTTATATATACACACGCTCTAAAAATAATATATTTCTCACACATACACATATATTTCTAAAGACATTGAGGTCAGTAAATGTTGTTAATATTGTTTATTATAAACAGAGCATTTACTTAAATATTTGTTTTAATATGTTATATATGTTTAATATGTTATGTTATTTTATACAGACACAAATATTTAAGTAAATGCTTTGTTTTATAATAAACAGTATTAACATTTATCGGTCTGAACATCCCAAAAATTTTCATAAAAAATATGTGTCCTCGTGCAGGAATTAAACGTGTATCCTACACAGAATCGTCATATAACCTGACATGCTATACCAGTTTAGCTACAGAGGGGTGTCTGATTAGCAAGGTCAATTTTACTGGTTTTAAACTAAAATTTCCCATGATTTCCCTCAAATGATTATAAAAAAAAAACATAAAATATATTAAAATAATTGTCGGACTTTGTCTATTTTGTCGTGTGTTAAATATTTGTAAAAAAAAGTATAAACAAAAAATATAAAACAAAATATATATTAAAATATTTGTTGGACTTAGCCCATTTCATAATACACACACACACACACAAACTTCATACAGTCTTTGGAAAACTGTATTTGAAATAGATGCTCTGTTTTTATTTTAAATGGTGTGTATTACATCTATCAGAATGTGTATTCAAGAGTAACTTAATTAAGAAAATGTGCTCTCAGGCAGGGTTTGAGCCTGTCTTCTCCTTTATAGGGGAAATCATTGTTTTGATTCAGCATGCCATAGCTCGGCCAGAGAGAACGAACAGCCCGAGTTTCTATTTCCCTATTAAACATTTGAATTAAGAAAACATTAGATTAAAAATAAATCCAGTAAGAAAAAAAATTATTTTTTTGTATTTTATTTTTTTACAATGATCTTCACTTTGTATAAGGCCCGGAAGCCACTCTAGGTAGAGAGTTACAGAATAAGAAATATAGTTTATGTGGATATATGGGGAAGATAACAGTTGACCTAGAACAGATTAAGATCGGAGAAGCATCCCTTCTCATCAATCGTTTACGAAGGGAATGAGGGTGGTTCACTACAATATGCGTAGTAAGGTGGGTCTTAGTCATGATGGCAAGAACTGCTGGAACTGTGGAATGTAATTCATCTGAACATTTTATAGAGCAGCTAAAATATCACAGATAGAGCAGATAAAATGTCACAAGATGTCACAGATAAAATGTCACAAGCCAAGAGGCTTGTGACATTTTATCTGTGAATGTGAAGCCAAGAGGCTTGTGACATTTTATCTGTGAGAAAGGTATTGTAGGGTGGAAAATAATTAATCGCCCACAGGGATGCAAAGATGCTTTTGGACTATCAAAACTGGAAAGTGAACACTGGGAAGCTCTTGTCTATATCTGGCAGGAGTACTTCATTTTTGGCCTGATATGGCTCTTGTAGAGGATAGCAAGCGGATCATTTTTCCAGCCTCTTTAGCGATGGATCATATGTATGAGTTCCAATTGTGGTTTGTGCTGAGTTAAATCCTAACAGGCGCTCAAGACATAGGACCTCCCAGGAGGAACTTCCATTCATCATGACTGGGCCCGACTGGTGATAATGGAATGTCACTAATTTGGTTTTTGAGGCCTTCAATGTGATCAGCCTGTTTTTTCCCCAACTGAGCTGTTAGATCAGAGGAGAGATCAGCTGCAATCTGTGATCATCTACAGATATATACATATATTTCTAGTACTCTGGACATTATTTTATGGTTACCCATTGTTTGTGTAGACACCATGTGTGAATTACATCTACCTGCCTGTGAACTTGAAAGACTTAATAAAGAGAATGTGATTTCCAGCAAGGGAAGAGTAGAAAATAATATTGGATAAAGAATCCATTGCATGTATATATATATATATATATATATATATATATATATATATATGTGAAAAGTGAATATAAATATAAATAAATATATATATATGTATAATTATTTATATATTATATGCGCGGTACTTATTAGAAAGCGCTCAATATCAGAGATAGAGCTAACATCTATCCAACCAAATATGTTAGCTCTATCTCTGATATTGAGCGCTTTCTAATAAGTACCTTAATTTTTTTACTTAAAAATTTTTTCGCTTATTGTTTGATGAAACGGAAGTTCAGCTAAATTCAAAGGATAAGCGATCTAAAATCCGAAGAAGAAGCTTTGAAAGCTCTTTGAATTTAGCAGTAAGTACTGTCAAACGTCTGTTCAGTATAATGTTCGGGGATGCTTTTCTTTTCATGGAACTGGTTTCTTAAAACCTATTGAAAAGACCTCAGGAGCGAGCAGTACAAGAGAATTTTAGAGTCTTGTCTGCTCCCTTCAGCTGAAAGGGTGCAAGTCAACCCCACCAAGCTCATTTTTATGCAGGATAATGTTCCCTGTCATAAATCAAAATTGATTAAGGAATACTTTGATGAGAAGCAGGTGAGTGTTATGACATGGCCAGCCCAATCTCCTGACCTCAACCCCATAGAAAACTTATGGAGCATTAAAAAGTACAGGCTCTCGAGAAAGCAGTTGAGCAACAAAGAGGATTTGATTGTGAATTTCATATCCGAATGGAATTCAATGCTTGGAGATGAGATTTGCCAGAACCTAATTAAGTCAATGCCAAAAAGGGTTGAAAAGGTTATTCAAAATAAAGGAGGACCCATAGACTGTTAAATATTTCAAACTATATTACCTATTATAAATAAATTATACCTTTATTATTCTTTATTTAAAGCTGTTCGGTTATGTTTCTATTGATTACTAGTTGCAGGAAATAAGTGAGTTGATTTTTTTGTACAGAGTTTTTTCCTGAATCTCATTTATATCCAAAATTATAATTATCAATAGAATACCTTAGGGTGAATAAACTTTTTTCCTAAGTGGTTGGGAAGTGGTCTTTATATTAGTAAGATTAAAAATTATTTTAACACCAAAAACAATAGACAAAAAATATTTTTAGTAAAAAAAAATCAGGTGAGTCACTTTTATTGAACAGCACTGTGTATCCTTTTGCATTTATATTGCTCTTTCTGCTATCATTCTGAGCACTTCCTTCTCTGATGTATTTAATAAATCCACACTGTTCTTGTTTAGTTTCCAATCTAATCCTACGTTTGCTCTGTTTATCAGAATTCAGATATATTTTGTTATATGGCTCATTATGCTGATTGTCTGATTCGTTTTCACCTGGCTTCTTAGGCAGTGCTATGAAAACTGTTATATATTTCATTTATTATGTCTGTAATCTTGTCAATGCCAGAATCATCTGAGACTGCCATCATCTCTATTACAATTCTGTCTGGCCTGCCGCTTTGTTTCTGTATGATTTGGCCAGTGTTCTAGTCTTTTGATATTTCTGTATATTGCCTCTCTTCCTCTTTCATCATGAAAGAGTTCTCTGAGGAAATCCATTTTTCTGAAAAATTATTTTAAGATAAAAATGTTATTAATTTCAACCAAAGGTAGTTAAACAAATATATTAACAGAAACTGTAATACAAATGAGAGTGTTACAGCAAGAATGTTCATTCCGACTGTCAGAGCTCACTACTGGAAACTTCCCTCTCCAAAAGGCAGTACCTGCTCCTATTTATAGCTGGGAGAATCCATGCATGCATGGTTAAATTACCATAACATAATGAAATGACTATTATTATCTTAACTATTCAATGAATTGAATAAATGGTAAACCAGCTCATAAGCTATTGTTCACACTAGGGATATATATATATATATATATATATATATATATATATATATATATATATATATATATGTAAGCAAATATATGGATATAGATCCGACAGTATGAAGAAAATATACAGAAAAAACAGACAAAAATCTTAATATGCAATTATGCTGTATTAATGTTAATATAAAGTCAACGTCGGACGTTTCGGTCTATTTTAGACCATCTCTAAACGAAACACTGATCTTATATAAAAATTTCAGTTATCTGTTTGGATTAGTTGTGCTCTTATGTCCATCGTCTTTTTGTGTTGAATTTTTTATATGTTCTAATGTTAATTATGTTTTAATGAAAATGTCCTGAAGATGGTCTAAAATAGACCAAAACGTCCAACGTTGACTTTATATTAACATTAATACAGCATAATTGCATATTAAGATTTTTGTTTGTTTTTTCTGTATATTTTTCTTCATATATATATATATATATATATATATATATATATATATATATATATTCTATTTATTTTTTTTTTCCAGTACATGATTATGCCAGTTTCTCATTTCAGAAATTTAAACAAATTGTTTGTCTTGTGCCTTGGCTTTATAATAAAAATACTGAAATGCAATATTACTTGGTGTAGAAAACTACAAACTTACAAGAACAGTTCTTACCAAAACTTGATTGAAATTCCTAGAAAAGATTTTTAGAACGTCCTCTTGGTTTTCCAAGACTATTCAGTAGGCTTATTTTTATTAGTTGAAACATTCTCAAACCATTATTATTAATCTTTTAGTAGAACTTACTTTCATTTTTATTTTTCATTAAATGAAGTGTTGTCAGCCATTATTATTCATTTTTTTGACTAGGGTTTACTTTCATCTTCAATTTTTATTTATTACAACATTGTCAGACATTATTATTAATTTTTGACTAAGATTTTCTTTCTTTATTTTATTAAATGAATTGTTGACCATTATTATTAATTAGTATTTACTTGTTTTTACTGGCATCTTTAATTTTTTTGTTGTTTTGTTGACAACTTCAGCAGTGGATAAACTACAGGATCAAAGATGGAGGATAAACTTTGGGAAAACTTTATTTCCAGTTTCTATACTGTCTAATCACTGATATAGAACCACAGTTGGTTTGGTTTGGTTTACAGCATATCAACCATAATGGGTTATTTAATGCTGACAAAATTTTTATTGCTGTTAATGTTTTTCTTCAAAAATCTATTTCTGGGAATATTTTTCCTTGAAGAAATCTATAGCTGGTAATATTTTTCTTCAAAGAATGTATAGCTGTTTGTATTGAGGGTATTTTTATTTTTTTAAAGTATTGCTGCTAATAATTTTTCCTTCAAAAATTATTGCTGGTAATAATTTTTTTTTTTTTTATTACAAAGTATTTCTGGTATTAAAACCTATTTTTACCCAAGTTTGGGTGTTAACTATTTGCCCATAGCTGGGACCCTAACAGGTGCTACCACTCCGGGTCAGGGTGGGCCTAGGAACACCAGCAATTAAGAGGTGGTTCCATGATCTTCAAAAACTCCTGATCAGAGGCCTTGCTGTTGGATGTAATTTATCGTCTTACCCAGGACCCACAGTTGGTGTAAAAACTGTGATAAGCAACTAAGAAATTAAAATGTAGATAAAGAAATACTATTATAGATTATACTGAAATATGATGGACTTTGAGTTGAACCCTTCCTCCCCCACCCCAACAGAAAATATAGTATCCTTTGTTATTCCTCTTCTATGTGCCATGTCCCTTCAGTACATGGGCAATTATGACTCTCCACAACTTCCTATTCTTTGTTGCTCCTGCTTTTGGTAAGATTCTCCACCCCCATTTTACCATCCATATGCACAAGCGCATCAGATTGGTGCTCTCAATATGGCCTTTCATTGTTAATGATGATAAAGTAGTAAGTCCCCTGATCGGGAGATTGAAAGTTTTGAGAAGCATGGAACCACTGCTTAACTGCTATTGTTCCCAGGCTTGCTCTAACCCAGAGTCATACCATCTGTTAGGGTCCCAGTTAGGAGCAAATAGTGAACTCTCAAACAAAAATTAATAGTACATTTTTTTATAATAAAATGACAAACAATACATTTTTTTAGCAAAATGACCAGTTTTAATACATTTTTGTAGCAAAATGACAATGCAACACTAAAAAAATATAAAAATACATTTTTAGTTAATTAACCAACCAACGCGTTTTATGATCTATGGACTATATACCAAAAAACATACATTTACTCTAAAAGTATAAAATTATGTACAAAATATTAATAGTTGAAAGCATAAAATTACCTACAATTACGCATTTATTCTTACTGAAACAAGAACTACCACCATAATGTCTTACATGCCAAACCCAATATACAGTAAAACATTTTCTAATTGAATGCATTGATCTTGACTTGAAAAGACAATTTCTTCAAGGTAAACGACGTAAAAGAACTATTTGAAAATATTAAAATAAACAGAATTATAACATTCTTGAAATCAGTTGAGTTATATCTGAAAATATATGAAAAACAAAACGAAGATTGTCCATTTTTTTTCTAAATATAAACACAAATAAATGAATTTTGGTATAAAATGACTAAAGAGTTGATATGCCGTTAAAAATCCACTTAAACTTAAATTTTGAGCGTTAAGTTTTCCAATCCTTCTTTTATTGTGTGTCCAAGGAATTTTCGTTTTCTTTTCCTGATTCTGAGCATAAGCATGCTTTTTGTTGCTATTTTCTTCAAGATTTGCTTGTTGCTTACCCACTCCATTCATGGAATTCTCAGCATCCTTCTGTAGAATCACATTTCTGTTCCCTTTAGTTTTCTCCTCAACTGTGAGGAGAAAACTGGAGGCAACATCTAAGAATACCAATAAGGTTATTACTACTACTACTATTACTGAATTAAGGAAAATGTATTTAAAAATACTGATATACTACTACTACTACTATTACTGAATTAGTGAAAATGCATTTAAAAATACCGATAAGGTTATTACTACTACTACTATTATTGAATTAAGGAAAATGTATTTAAAAATACCGATAAGGCTATTACTACTACTTTTACTGAATTAACGCCACTATCTCAAGTCTTGTTGATATAAAACAAGAAAAATAAGATGAAAGAAAAACTAGTCAAAAATTAAGAATGCTATTCAGATTACTAAAAATAATTTAAAGATTAAAAGTAAATAGCAACCAAATTACTAATACTTTTGACTGAAATGAAATATGTAATCGGAATTGTTGAATCCTTCAATTATAGTGGAAAATAAGATGAAAAAACAACTAATAAAAATTGAATAAAGAAAATACGTTGTCTCTATATTCAGATAAGATGAATTTGCTTCAGAGGTGGGGATGAAAATTCCTTCTCGTTCAATCTAAAGTCAACACTCCTAACTACCAAAGCAGTTTTTGGTTACCTAGAAAGCAAACCTGTGTTTAGTAACTGCCTACCATCAATTATCAGTTCCCTTTTTACTCCATCACTGATAGCTAAACAAGGAAATTGTGTGTGACTGGAGTTTGTGCCTGTTGATGGCGGGGGGGGGAGGCAACGTATTTGTGACACTTTGCTTGATTTTATGTCTTCATCGTTTCACTTCATCAGGAGGCGAGGCTTATTTATTTATTTATTTAATCAAGGTATGTGCTACAGAATGTGAATGTTCCATATTGAAATTCATAAGAAATTCTGGTTTTTACTACCACCCGGCCGGGCCCCTAATTGTAAAATGTGCAAGACAGGTGTTACCTTGGGTAAAAGCTAAAAATAAATCATGCCCAGAAACACACACACACACACACACACACACACACACACTTCAGATATAAATGTTTGTCTGTTGAGGGACTGTTTTCAGGGGTTCCCCTTACAAGGAGAAGAACAGGGGCCAAAAATATTGTGAGAATGATTGAGAAACAAAAGTAAAACCAATCTTTCTCAAAAAAACTCACTTAATCCATTAAATTTTAATAGAAACAGGCCAGTTCCCATTTTCTGAACATGGCGGTAACTTTAATTTTCAGGGCAATTAGAGTAATTTTCTCTTTCTTTATTCTTTTTCTCTCTTTCTTTCATTTTTTTTTCTCCCTTTCTTTCATTTTTTTCCCCTTTCTTTCATTCTTTCTTTTATCTTTCTTTCATTCCCCCCTTCTTTCATTCCCCCCCTTTCTTTCATTTTCCCCCCTTTCTTTCATTTTCCCCCACTTTCTTTTTTTTCTTTCATTTCCCCCCCTTTCTTTTTCTTTCTTTCATTTCCCCCCTTTCTTTTTTTTTCTTTCATTTCCCCCCTTTCTTTTTCTTTCTTTCATTTTCCCCCCTTTCTTTTTTTTTCTTTCATTTTCCCCCTTTCTTTTTCTTTCTTTCATTTTCCCCTTTCTTTTTTTTCTTTCTTTTCCCCTTTCTTTTTTCCCTTTCATTTTTTCTTTTTTCTTTCTTTTTTCCCCCTTTCTTTTTTCTTTCTTTCATTTTCCCCCTTTCTTTTTTCTTTCTTTCATTTTCCCCCTTTCTTTTTTCTTTCTTTCATTTTCCCCCTTTCTTTTTTCTTTCTTTCATTTTCCCCCCTTTCTTTCATTTTTCTTTCTTTCATTTTCCCCCCCTTTCTTTCATTTTCTTTCTTTCATTTTCCCCCCTTTCTTTCATTTTTCTTTCTTTCATTTTCCCCCCTTTCTTTCATTTTTCTTTCTTTCATTCTCCCCCCTTTCTTTCATTTTTCTTTCTTTCATTCTCCCCTTTTCTTTCATTTTCCCCCTTTCTTTCATTTTTCTTTCTTTCTTTCATTTTTTCTCTCATTTTCCCTCTTTCTTTCATTCCCCCTCTCTTTCTTTCATTCCCCCTCTCTTTCTTTCATTTTTTTCTTTCTTTTTCTTGTTCTCTTTCTTTTATTTTCTTTCTAATGAATTACAGCATTATTTAAAATACATTGAGCCTGGCAGTTGTGGGTTCAATCTTGGTTTTTAGTACTGCTGAAAAGTAATATAGTCTGTTTTTATAGAAGACACAAATAAACAAGACAAAAGTGAATAAATCTGGTGATGTCATAATAAGAACAATCTTCCCCTGTGGATTGAATAAAGTGTTTGGTTTGAGATTCCAAGAAGATCACCTAGTACAAAGGTAGATTCCTTAAGAAGGCTGTTGTACTCTTTGGACAAAATGTGAATTTAACAATTAAGATGAGTGCACTGGTCCAAATAGCAAAGCAAGTAATGTTAATTTCTTATCTCAAAAATTCTGGCAAAGATATTCCTGATTGTAACTATAAGAAGCCAGAAGAACCATCCAGGATGTAACCTACAAAATGGTGAGATCAAAATCAATCAACTACAAAAATTTAACTGTCTAGAAAACATTTGAACAGAGGATGGAAAATATGACACAGAAATCTGAAGTCACATTGGAATAGTAAAAGATGCTTTCCAAAAACTCACCAAAGGTTGTTTTTTTTTTTAATAATCATTTCAGCCCAAGAAAGTCATAAAGCCACTAAGGCACAAAGACCTATACATTTTTAAAAAATGCATTTCCCAGGGAATTCATTCCTTTGCTCTCACCACATAAATGTACTAAAATAAGTTGCAAGCTTTTGGATTTATACATTTTTTTCTCAATATTTGACAGGTACGTTAAATGATATTTTATATGCTATTTAACAAATAGCTGGTGTGGTGGGAGAAATGAAATCATGCCTTTTCCAAATTTCATACATCTTCTCAAGCATACTAATTGGGAATATACTTTCCCCTAGATATAGAAAGAAACTCCGGCTCACAGTCCTCAATTTGGGAAAACTCAAGATTTGCCATTTCCTTTCTGTGAAATATATCCTTGCCTGGGACATAGTAGATGAATCCGGCCCTTTTGAATCTGGAGTCCTAAACATGGCCTCTCCAGAAACACAGAAGAATTTTCATATTATATGAAATAGCATTTCTTTTTGTTTCTCCTTATACTCTGCTTGCTGTGTAGATATGATATATTGTTCTCCACATGGGACATGTGTGCATATATGTATATATAGTTTTGTGTATGTTTAAGTAGTATAAAAGTCACTCTGAGAACAAAACATATTTTTCATTTCAACCATTCTGTGGATTATGGTGTTATTATATCATAGATGTAATAATGCCGGTAATGGAGGGAAACGTAAATGGGAGAATAAAACTTTCTACCATAGCTCTCTCCTGTTATATGGCAAAAGACAAGAAGTTGTGGAGAGTCACAATCCCCTCAAAGGACAAGACACATAGAGAAAGAGAGATTGTAAATTCATCCTCTATTTTTTTTTTTTTTTTTTTTTTTTTTACATTGCTGGTGATAGTGGGGTTCTTGAAATCTCCTTTTTGTGTCTGTTATCAACACTGTTATGTTGGTAGAAAAAGGAACAACCCAACATGTAAATTACAAATCGAAGATACCAAAATCAAACAAGTACAATAATTTAAATATCTGGGAAGGGTTTTAATAGAGGATAGAAAGTGTGATAATAAAATCCAAACACATATTGGGATAGTGAAAGATGCCTACCATAAGCTAAGCAAGGTATTAAGAAAAAGAAAAAATTGTTAGAAACAAAGAAAAGAGTACTAAACTGTTACATAATGTCGATGACTCTACAGGGACTGATGAAGAGACTTGAAGCAAAAATCTGGTTCTACACAAAAGATGCCATCGACTGCACATGTGAGCAATGACAAAGTTTTAGACAAAATGGAAACAAAAAGGATGCTTGACATCAGGAAGAGGCAGTTGAAATTTCTAGTGCACATAATAAGGATAGAGGGCTTCTAAAATTTGATACTCACAGGGACAGATTGAATGCAACAGAGACAGAGGAAAACAATGCATAACCTACCTAGCAAGCTTGTATAAATGTATAGCAGAACAATATTTAGGAGAGATAACAAAAAGGCAAAATTTATTAAACAATACAAAAGACAGGTAATTGTGGGGAACTATGTTTGCCAACATTCTGAAGGGACACGGCATATAGAAGGTGGTGGTGTGGTGACAATGGATTTCACTTCTGGATTTGAAATTCAGTTTCCTTCACCTAGGCTGGTTTATAACCAAGGCTAAAAAGCCCAGTCTGTCCTTTTATTTATCCATACCTAGGGGAGATTACTTGGGAAGTATGTTTTCCAATGCCTTCTCCATGGTTTTGAATTCAGAGTTGACTTTCTCTTAAACTGCCACCCAATGCTAGAGAGACCAGTCTACTTTATTATTTAATCTATAGCTGGGGAGGATGAGATAGATTGAGGCCTTTCAATATCTGTCTATATTTCTGAGATGAGGTATTGTAATTATTTATATTATTTACATTGCTCAGGCTGTTGTCCTCATCTTTGTCATATTTACGACGTTTTGGCCATTGTACACTCCGGCTTTCTTCAGATGATTGGAATTTTGAACTCAGTCATTTATTTCATTCACCAGGGTAGATTGTTCTAGTTTCATATGCCATGCCTCTTCTGGATGTTTCAGTTATCTCCCTTTAATTCAACTTTCCAAGATTTTTTTTTTAACCACTGCAGTAGCCAGGTATTGAACTCACAACTCTTTAAGTCAAGTCACTGGATCCAACCAGTGCTTTTATCCACTGCACCTGAAGTGGTGAACAAAAGAAACTTGAAGAGTTGAGATAAAGGGAGATAAACGAGACATCCAGAAGAGGCATGGCACATGGAACTAGAACAATCTATCCCAGTCAATGAAATAAAGGATTGAGTTTTGAAATGCTAATCACCTGAAGAAGGCCAGAGTGTACAACTGCCAAAATGTTGTGAACATGACAATAAAGATGAGGACAACAGTTCAAACAATGTATATAATGTAAATAATTCAGGCCTTTCTCCTACCATTAGTATGAAATGAACAATAAACTGGGATTTGGACTTGAATCTCATATTCCATGTTCCAAACTTATAACCATTATGCTATTTGCACATCCCAATATAAAATTACTAACTTATCTTAAAGTATATATAATATTTACTCAGCTTTTTCACTGTGTTGTTCAGTGGTTTTTAATCTTTTCTTTTGGCAACAACCCAAAATCTTATCAAAAATCTCTCCCAGGGTCTGTTGTTCATATTAAGATATTTATTCTTCTCTAGTTAGATTTAGATTTATTTTAGGCCTAATTAAATAATTAGGAAATGTTGCTTCTTATCTATAATATAATAATCTCATTTCTATCTGTTACCATAACACAGCAACAATGGCACACCATAGAAAGATTTTTGCTAGCTCAACACTGTTAAAATGTTCTAACTTAAAGGATAGTGATTTTCCAGTTCAACTTAGAACTTAATAGTTCATCCACACCCTATTAATTGTTGATTATCTCCCTTGCTTTAATCCTGCCGAGTTGTGTGCCCCTTATTGGATAGATATAAATGACTACAATGTTTGAATAGGCTGCTGTTTTTCTTTAATTAACAATAATTATTGGATTTTTGCATGTCTTTTTTTATCAATTCATCCCAAGCAAGGCAACAATGCCACTAAGATGCAAGGGGGTACTGGGAGGGAAAGAGAATGAGAATACTTTACAAAGAACCAGAAACCCAATCCTAAATGGGGAAACAAGATTGTTCAAAAGATTGGAGAGGAGTGTGAAGAAAATAGCAACATAAAGAACACTTATATTTAGAGTCAGGAAGAGACAGCTGAAATTTCTTGGACACATAATGAGGAAGGTAGGCTTAGAAAAGATAACTCTTACAGGGCGCATTGAGGGTAAGAGAGATAGGGGAAGGCAGTGAGCTTGTGTGTGGATGATGGAATGGGGGTACCCTTAAGAAAAGGAGAAAAAATATCACAAGGGATATGAAGAGTCACAAGGAACAGGAAGTTTTGGAGGGACTCTCTCTCTCTCTCTCTCACCCTCCCTCATTCTTCCTCTCTCTCTCTCTCACCCTCCCTCATTCTTCCTCTCTCTCTCTCCTCCCCATCCTCATTCTTCCTCTCTCTCTCTCTCTCCCCTCCCTCATTCTTCCTCTCTCTCTCTCCCCACCCTTCCTCATTCTTTTTCTCACCCTCCCTCTCTCTCTCTCTCTCTCCCCTTCCTCTCTCTCTCTCACCCTCCCTCTCTCTCTCACCCTCCCTCTCTCTCTCACCCTCCCTCTCTCTCTCAATCTTTCTCTCTCTCTCCCTCAATCTCTCTCTCCCTCAATCTTTCTCTCTCTCGCTCTTCCTCTCCCCCTCTCTCTCTCAGCCTCACTCTTTTTCTCTCTCTCAGCTTCACTCTTCCTCTGTCTTTCTCAACCACCCTCCCTCCCTCTCTCCCTCCCCGTCTCTGTTTTTATATAA